AGCAACAGAAAAAGATGAAATGGAGGAAAGAAGGGAAGGAAGAAAGAAAGTAGGAGGAAGGAAAAAAGATGGAGACCAGTTTCATTTGTGGAAAATCTGGGTATGTGACTAATTATATTCCTCATTTTAAGAAAATGCAAACAGGAATATGGCCTATTTTAATTGGCAAAGTTTCTAGGTAATAATCAAATTCAGAATTAGGTATTTTTGAGCAAAGATGGAAACTAGAGAATTGTTTGCGTTTGAGCATCAGACGCTGGGTTTTCAGATATTGAGAGAGTTCCCCTTGATTCTGTTTTATATCACTTAGGGGGCCTCCTGCTGGGTTTCTGAAATGAAAATAATAAATAAATATCTTGGAAGATTATTTCAATTTTATAATTACTAATATTGTTGCTAAATATACCAAATGGGGATCAGCAAAACACCACTGTGCTATTTATATTTTCCTCTAGCCATAGGCTTTGTCACAATCTATCCACATGATCTTATTTTTGTGTCTATGTCTTTTTCATTGGAAAAATATGGCTTGAAAGAGGGAGAAAGATGTCATCTGTTGCTTTCAGAAAATTAAGCCCATTTAAAATTGAATACTCAGAAATCCTGTTACTTTGTTGGCTTTGGTATCTCCTTTCTAAAATAAAACCTACCCAAAGCATGGTTCTTTAAAATAAAGTGAATTGGAAATCTATAAAGATTTAGACACACTATGCTGAGTAAGCTGGGTAAGAGAGTGGTGTATAAGAAACACAGGTGCATCATGGGTTAAGGTACTTATCCAGACTCTCCTGTGATCTTAATGATCTGTGGTATGTCACTTAATTTCCCTGAGACTCAGATTTTTATTTGTAGATTGATCAAATCATTCAAATTTAATTTAGAACAACTTAGAATTAATTGACAGTACAGCCCTATCAATTAACTGCATATCCCAGCTCCATTTTTCAAAGGCCCTATGTTTTTGGGGCAAGTAACTTAAATTCTCTGGTCCTTATTTTCATCACCATAAAGTGGACATTATTATAATATATACTTCACATGGTTTGGGAGAAAATTAAATGAGAAACTATGCATAAAACAGATAGCAATTGGCACATAACTGTAACACTGGTTTTTGTTGATAATTTATGCCTGCAGGTAAATAATCTGTGACTTTTACATCTGACTAAACACACACACACACACACACACACACACACACACACACAAGAATTTAGAAGCAATATGCTTGTGACTAAATATTGGTGGCACCTTCTGTTTTCCAATATCACTGATAAAATGGGACAGATATGAAATTCTGAGGCAGAAAGCCTCACAACTTCGATCATTGATAAGCTACCTATTCCTACATTCTTGATTATTTTTGACGTCTGTGCAGGAAAATGCATGGCTTAGATACAAAGCTTGCAAAATGTCCCAAGCAGTCATTTAGCAAAATTCCTGAGCTCCCAGAATGCTGAGCACACTTCTAGTTATGTCAGCCACCCAGAGAGCTATGCAGCAGGCCTCCATGAGGAAGATGAAGCACATCTCTGCGATAAAGTTTAAAGAGCAACACATCAACACATACAAATCAATAGCCTGTAAAATGAATGCCTGAGTGTTGAGAGGATCTTTTGGAAAGCTTTCTTCAAAGCAGTAAGATAAACTAAAAGGGTAGTAGAAGTGTGCATAACAAAAGGCATAGAAGAGCAAATTTATAGAGCACTTCAGGCCAGACCAAGAAATGAGAAAACAGGGTTTGTGAATGTTTTGATTTCCAATTTTTATTTTGATCTTGTTCTGTTTTAAATGTGTATACAACAGTATTTTATCAATAGGCTCTGTATACAATGTCCCCACCTAGAGCCTCTTTGAATATTGTCAAAATTTCATTAAAACATTTTAAATGAATGTTATTGGGGGATAATTTACATACAGTGCAATGCATTCATTGAAAATTTATTTTTAAAAGAATACAAGTTTCTCAAAAATAAGAATATCTTGTAGTTTTAAAAGGCTTGATTTTAGACTAGCCATCCCAGTAATAAGCAGACATTCAGAAAATATGATGAAAAAATAGAAGAAAATTAAGCCGTTTTAAAGCCATGTTAATTTTAGTACAAATCACTTAATTTGTGAATATTTTAAAAAACATTATCTGTATGTTTTGTTTTTATGTTCCTATTTAATAACATATTTGAAGAGAGGAAACTGAAAATTTTAAGTATTTTTTTATTCTGAAAATTGTTATTATAATAAAGTTTCAAACCAATGCCATGGAATTGTGCCTCTTATGAACATGTCATGGGCTTCTCTTTGACAAGACTATATACCTTTAACTTTATATATCCTCATTGAGAAAATATATGGAATGATAATACAAAAATATGTGAATGAACTTATTGTATAAGATAATAGTGTTCTCCCCCCAAAATCTCTTAACTTGTGATGCAGACCACACAGGATTGTATTGTGATGCCTAATACACATATTTGAGATGCACTGCCTCCATTTTGGATGCCAGAAATATTAACGTACTATCAGAACCTAATTGGTCAGATTTTCTGAACCATTTTGACTCAATCTGTTAATGAGCTTATGGAGAAAGACTTCAGAGTGACACAAAGCCATCATACACAGTAAGAACTTGACATGAGTCATTTGTGTCAATTGGTCATTTTATATTGTAGCTTTGCCCTTAGTCTACACTGCTTTGCTTACTGACAAACTTCATAAAATCCCATGATCCAGTCACATAGTGGGTAGGATATAAAATAAAGCCGATTATTTGTCTAATGTTTCTATCTTTCTTGGTTACAAAGATATATCAACAGATAACAATAGAATAGACAGTAATCTTTTATGGGGAGAATATATGTCTTTTTATTTTGTATCTGAGCACCTAATTCCTTACCTGGCACGACTGAAATGCCTGATTAAAATTTGTGGAATGAGTAAGTGGGTTAATGGATAAATCTGGTCAGTGGTCAGTGAAAAACCATCACTATTGAAAAAAGAAAATACAAAAAATCCACGCATGCAAAGAAAGGATCAATGACATTGTTTCTGTATAATAAAATAAAGCCATTGTAAAAAGCAAGTAGTTATGCTGATTTGCTTATTTTCACTCTTTTATAGTAAGTCACAGAACTAAAGTATGAGAAGTCACATTAGGGTATAGATGGGGGCTTCCAAAGCAAGTCGTTTTCAAAAAGTCTTCATTTTATAGTAAGTTTGGAAGGTTGGAGATTATTTTTATAAATACTTCTGTCATAGTGTCCACTAGTATATGGCTTCTTCAAATATCCTGTGTGGCTTCCAAGAGACCAAAAAGGATTACCAGTCGTGAAAACAGATTTTCTATAAGGGAATTGATTTGATAATTTTCAGATTACCCTCAAAGAAGAAAAGAAGTAAAATAATTTTTGGCATGAATAGAAACATTTTGCATTCAGAAATTGACTGAGGTTTAGTTTAAGGAATATGAGAGCTTGCATCAATAGATTAGAAAATTTTGGCCATTCATGTGTACGTGTGTGCATGTGTGTGTGTATTTATGTGTCTCAGTAACAACACCAACATAACATTCCTGTTTTGAATTGCAGAATGCTCATTTTGTGCCCAAGTACACATATCTCTTTTTTTAAGGACTTATTTTGTAGTGTTGCATTTTAATTTAAGGTATATGCTTGACTTCAGCCCTTGCCATCTTACCATTCTTGCTGAAATGGCACAATAGGATATCTCACTACTGTGTCTTTTAATAAAGTCTCCACATTGACTTCTGGGAATACGTGAATCTCTTATCACAGGTGCATGAGGATATATCATGTTGTGGCTTGTTAAAATCAGGTTTTGCACCTGTGTCCCTGACTCTGCAGCACATAATCACTCACATAAGTCCCCCTCCGGACTTGAATAGCCTCTTAGTCATTTATTTTGCACTACTTAGAAAATAATAACAATAAATTTATTTTGGTATATGAATAATTAAATACGGTTGTTGTAGCTAATATATATATATATATATATATATATATATATATATATATATATATATATATATATATATATATATATATATATTAGGTATTCAAAACTATCCTGGGAAGACCAAGGAGCAAATCTGTTCATTTGGTATCTTTCTAAATTTCTATTTAACAGAGATAGTCATGTGGCAGGTATCAGTTCAATTAAGAGTTGTTGATTGCACATGGGTATTTTTTTCCTTGAATGGAAGTTAAATATGCTTAAGAAGTCTAAACACAATATGTATTCATATAATCATAAATAATTGAGCCATTGAATATGTGGTAAATTGCTTTAAAATTAATTATCTAATTACTTTCCTGGGCTCTGGTCATTCCATTGTGTCCAGACTCTATGTATTTATGTTGGTCACTGTCTTGTAGTCTGTATCTTGATATGGATAATGGCGGCTGCTAAATTTACAGCATCTCACATATAACCCTCAAAAGTGTTTCTCACACTTACAGAATTGACCTACAGAGTTGATGCAATTTTATATTGAGAATGCTGACATTGACTGAAGTGTTGAAACTCACAAAAGAAACGGACTTTGATCTAGACCTTTCTATGTATTTTCCCCTAGCTTCTGATGGATTTTTCCCCGTTGAACCTCATTGTCTAGTTGCTCTGAGATTATTATGGGTAGAGTCAGAAAATACTCTGAGTACTCCAACTGGTCACCTACATGAAAGAAAAGGGGTACACTCTATAAAATGTGTGTCTCCATATCAATAATATTTTTGTATACTGATAGCTTAAATAGATCGAAAATCACATGAAAAAGAGCATGAATCCTACAGAAAGCACCTTCTACAGCCCATAAACTTCAGTCTTCTGGCTTTCATGTTTAGCAGCATCTTGAGAGGCATTTATAGCCTCTCATACACTCCTTTATTATTCCTTTATTGATTAAATAGTGATGCCTCCTGGACCTAGGACATGGTTCACTATTTTTCAATTAAAATGAAGAAACACCTTGTTTGTTGCAGGTTCATTTCGAGCAGTTGGCTTGTGGGAATCTGAGAGCTTCTGCTGCCCATGACATGTTGGAATTATCATGATCAACTACCCGGTTTGGATTTCACCCAGTGGCCAAGTGATTTGCTTGGTAGACAGCAAGGGTTGGATTTTTAAAAAGAGTAAACCAGGTAAGATTTGAGGGAGACATCTGATCCTTCATCACTGCCCTGAGGGCTTTAGTGTGCTGCCAAAAAAGCATTGAATAATGTATAGCTTTTCTATTTGTTTTCTAAGTTTAACAAGCAGGTTGTTAAAGAATGGTGATCCCTTGGATCCAAGAGAACGTATGTAGTCATAATTCAGTCCCATTTTTCTCAAGAGGAGACAGAAGTTATATTAAGATACATATAAAGCAGACATAAGAATACTATCGATGCTAGTTTAATGCAGTAGCCAAAAATTGCAAGCTACAGATTTCTTCAAGGCAACTACTGAACCACAATGGAATCAACAGTTGTACTTTTGAAGGTGCAGTAATGAAAGTGTTGCCATTAAGTATTTATATTATAAAAATATATCAGTTCATCGCACATGATCTTGTAAATCTGCTTCCAGGTTACTCCAATTTAGAAGATTATACTATTATTCTGCCCTTTTTTCTTTGTAAGTATTTGTCATTCTAAATTGTTCATCTAAGTATTTCACACTCTATTATTATTGTGGCTTCTAGAATTTAAAATAGTATACTCTTATTCAAGTGCTATTTTTCTACTTTGTCTATTGCATTCTGGAAACTCTTCTCAACTATTACCTATAGTTAGGTCAAATCTTATCTTTCTCTTTAACTCTCTTCATCCTCTGTAACATAATTTTAAATTTATCAACAATTACCTGAGGAAACTACATGTTACTCTTGTTTTCTGACTTTAAGACCATCAAAGCTTTTATAGCTTCTTTGAATTTTATGCATTCTAAAGCAAGATTTTCTTTTAAGATGAATTATAGAAAAAAATTTATGTAAGGAATATTTTATAGAAAAAATTATATATATATATATATGTGTGTGTGTGTGTGTGTGTGTGTGTAAAATTCATTTATTTAGAAAATAATAGAGAAAGATTATTCCAGGTCACTTGAAATTTTTAAGGTTTTTTTTGTTTTGTTTTGTTTTTAAACAAATACAGCTTTACTTTCTGAAAATAAAGTAAATGGAATTCAGTCAATAAATTATAGCCTAAGATAGTTATTTGGATATAGATGAGAATTTCTAAAGTACTTGAAAATAATTGATTCTCTAAAGTTTAATGAATATCACTTCCCAATCCCTTAATATCTTACTTGTCTATACAATTTACTTGTCATCAGAGTACAAAACTCAAATGGTCACAATTTTCAAACCTGTTGGAAATAGTATAGATCACCAAACTCATGCAGAAACCCTTATTTGATGAACTGGGTTAGTAGATAATTGTTTGTCGTGTTAAGTGACAAGGTGAATTATCCACATTTAATAGAGCCCTGCCAGTCTGTAAATGAAAGAAACATCAAAATACAGGATACTTTGGTGGAATTAGGCTCAACCTAGTTCCATACTTCACAGCATTAGTATCTAGCAAATAAATATAGCAAGAATGCTCCATGATATGAGTAGTTTTCCATATTCCTAAGCTTTTAAATCTTATTCTCTGAGTCCAAAATAATTTCACCCTGATTATGTTTACTTCAATTTTTTCAATGAAACTGGGTTCCATATTAAAACATCAAACTTAGAAAAACAAAGGAGGAAAGAGGAAATTAAATCTATTTTGAAGATAATCATGTGATAATGCAATTATTTGCAATTATTGATCTTGTCACAAAGAGCTCTTCTCTATTTGTGAGATATGTATTTTATTTTTTCAGAACACCTTATCTTTCTGAATGGTACATGCCATCAGTATAGAAAAAAATATACAAGGTACATGCCATCAGTATAGAAAAAAATATACAAGTACTTTTGACCCAAGTACTAAGAGACATAACTTCTCTTTTCTTCATAGTCTTTTGAAGCAAATCCTGTTGATTAGCAATACGAAGATAGTACATTTCACTGTTTTGTGTAAAAACATGATTTAGAAAGGCCCTCTGGACATAAAAGGTGTTAAAGTGCATTCATGTATTTTCCCAGTTAAAGGCTGACTCATTTTAAAATGAACAGAAAATTTATAATATTACACTTTTATAGTTTATGTTACCTTTAAATTCATTTTTGTTCTTTGTTTTAAAAATGGCAGGTGCATTTTTTATGGTGATACATGTTATCTTCTCCATAAAGTAAAAAAGAGTGTCAAGACTTCCCAATTCTGTTTCTCAGAAGTTCACAATAAAGCCATAAAAATTTGTACTGTTCCTTAGCTTAAAAGCAATTTTTCTTTCTTAAAGCATTTTTAAAGTAAAGATCTGCCTAGCTCAGGATTACATTACCATATGCTTGTACATAAAAGGAATATTAAGCTATAAAGATAGGATATAAAAGATAAGATTTCTCAAAGCTCTTCTGATAACAGCATGCGCCATGTAATGGGATATGCAGTCTTCAAGGTCGTTCACGAAAAATACTTAAGTAGTACCTGTGTATGCAGTATGTGCCTTCCTCACTGTGGAGAGCAGCGGACATTCTCACCTGTGCCACTACGCTTATTCTGAGGTCTTCTGAAAATAAAATCTTGAGAACTGAGAGATGTAGCTGATTCCATCATGAAAAGGCTCATATGAATTTTAAATACTTTTTGGTTACATATTTATTTGCTTTCCAAACATTTTGTAAAATGTCAACCACCTGTAAAGTAGTATGTGGCCAGAAACAAATTAGCAACCCTTCCTGACCTGCCCTGGTGTAGTTCACACTCACAAAGTAAAACACACATGTAAACAGCTTACTCCAGGCAAAATGAACTGAAAACTTTAATGTATGTTTCAAGTAATATTCTCCAGAAGCTAAGATGAAGGACTGTTAAAACTTATAAGAGTATTAGAAAATCTTTGAGGCTTAAGAAGCATTTCAGCTGCATAGCTAAAAGGTAGGGAGAATTGTAATTGATGGGAAATAGGTTTGAAGGCATTCTAGGCTCTGGGAACAGTCTGGCAGAGTCACCATGGGGTATAAATAAACGTTAGATTTGGAGAATGGAAAGCTTGCCACTGAAGTGTAAGGAGGAATGCAAGACAAGGTTAGTTATATTTATATATGAAGGTGTGATCAAATAATACAGTGAATGTTTAAATAAAAATAATTTATTACAATAAAAGACACATTGCCATTAATTCCCCTCAAAATACTCCCCCTTACTTGGAACACTCTTATCCCATTGTTCTTGCCACTTTCTGAAGCGGTTCAGGAAGTCCTCTTTCGTGAATGTCTCTAGTTGTGCTGTTGTGGCTGCCTCGATGGCCTGAATCATATTGACTTTGGGGAAGAACCAGAAGTCGCACGGTGCCAGATCCAGTGAATAAGGTGGATGAGGACACACCACAATATTTTTATTTGACAGAAATTGCCATGTACCAGACGTGGTGTGTGACATGGAGCCTTTTTGTTGTGATCACAAAATATGGTGAATGCTGCTGCTGAGTGCCATCCAACAGAAAGGCAGGGATCTTCAATATGAGAAACAGCACATCAAACATTAGTAACAGTGTGTGACACGTTTCAACTTGTACGTTGCAGTCAGTCAGATGTGAGCTACAATTGAGGGAAGGTGTGTTTTAACGTGTGCTGTAAACCATCCTCCATCATGACAATGCTCTGTGTCACACATCGCTTCTGGAATATGGAAATTTCTATCAAATAAAAACATTACGGTGTGTCCTCATCCACTTTATTCACCGCATCTGGCACCATGTGACTTCTGGCTGTTCCCCAAAGTCAAAATGATTCAGGAAATCGAGGCAGTCACCACAGTGCAACTAAAGACACTCATGAAACGGGACTCCCAGAACTGCTTTAGAAAGTGGCAAGAACAATAGGATTAGTGTGTTTGAAGCAAGGGAGAGTATTTCGAGGGGGATTAATGGCAATATGTCTTTCACAGTAATAATTTTATTATATATATATATATATATATATATATATATATAGATATAGAGAGAGAGAGAGAGAGAGAGAGAGAGAGAGAGAGAGAGAGAGAGACAGAGAGAGACAGAGAGAGAGAGAGGGAGGCATTCACCGTATTGTTTGATCACACCTTGTAGGTAGGGGATGGACTGGAGCATTTTGCGTAGCCTGTTATGGTCATTATAAATATGAAAGTGATGTAATCTAATCTTTACTTTAAGAAAATTATTCTGGCATAGGGTGGGGATGTGGGCAAGGAAGGTCTTTGCAGGGAGAAAAGATAAACTAAGCACATTCAGTCCTGTGAGTGTAGAAATGGTGTATGGTTTCTAGTCTGCTGTATCACCAGTGACTAGAACAGTTCTTGCTCATCATTGATTTAGTTAGTCTCTGTTAAATGCTGACTAAATGAATGTCTCTTAGTGATAAAGACACTTCTACATTTGCAACTGTTTCCTTTTTTACAAATGGTTTGAAAACTTTCCATATGTAAAAAGAAAATAATTTAACTTATGTGTTTTTCATCACACACATGGGTATACACATACACAAACACATACTAAACTCTCTCCCAATATGTGCTTGAAATTAAACCTTAGATCCTGTTCCTGAAATTTATGCTTCAATTAAGATGGGGGCAGCTGCTACCCTACTTTATTTCCCTTTTGAGACTTCTATCTCTCAGGCTTTATCCTTCCCGTCATTGTTTTATCATCACATCAATCACTGTGTTTCATTACTCAGGAACACAGCATGCATTGCAGGCACATTTTTATAACTAGAAAGCAAACCTACCCTACTTTGGCGTGTGCTGCTTACTTAAACCTAATTAAGCAATTCTGCTGAAAGTATCTCGTCCTTTCCATCACAGTGCACATTTGGTCAAAATAATAGGGAGCACTTTAAAGCCTGGAAAATAACTGGGGAAGGGAGCTTGAAAAAGACACAAAAGGAATGAAAGCAAACTTCAGCCCAACCTTCTTTGACACAATCCTCTAATGAGCCAGAGCGCATTAACACCTCTGCTAGAGGAAACGCCTAACTCACAGCATCACTTCCACTGCAATTATTTCATTGAAAATTACCATTGTCATA